AAAACAGACCCAAAATCAGGAACCTAAATTTCAGTACAATAAAGCCAACTGGGATAAATTTCAAGAAGTATGCAACCAAGCCAACCTAAAGGAACTAGAAACAAACGAACCTGAAACATATTGTCAAAATCTAACTGACTTCATAATTAATGCAGCAAAAAACGCCATCCCTTTCAAAACAAACAAAATAGGCAAACCTACCGTCCCATGGTGGAAAGAAGAAATAGAGCAATCTAGACGCAAACGAAAATCAGCATTCAATAAAACTAAACGCAACTCGAAACACCTAAAAACAGTGCACGGATTAAACCATAAAGTACAAGGCCTAGTCAGAACTGCTAAAACAAGAAACTGGAAAAAGTTCTGCAAAGAAATAAATCACCATACTGATGCCACAAAGGTGTGGCGTAAAATCCAAGCCATTAGGGGCATTAAACGTCATAAGAAAACTCCAAACATAAACAACTCAACCAACCCCTCCCAAAAAGTAACAATCTAGCCAAACACTTCTCAGCAGTCAGTAGCAACAGCAACATTTAGCAAAAAATTCCAAGAACAACTAAGTAAAGAGACCAAATTTACCAATGAACACAAAGATGACCAACTAGAAATTAACCACCCTTTCACATTAGAAGAACTAAACCACGTCCTAAACAATAGGAAAAAGGGCACAGCCCCAGGTCTAGACCTCACCTCTTACCACATTATCAAAAAACTACCGCCTAAACTACTCCAAACACTACTTAAACTCTACAAACTGATCTACCTAAACGGACAGGTCCAAACTCCTTGGAAGCAAGCTTTAGTAATACCAATACCTAAACCAAATAAACCAGCAGATCAGGCAAATTCGTACAGGCCAATCTCCCTAACCTCCAACCTATGTAAAGTAATGGAATCAATGACTAAAAAAAGGCTCCAGCATTACCTAGACCAAAACAACATCATAAACCCAGACCAAAGCGGTTTCACTCCTGGCCGCTCAACTCTTGATAACCTCGCCCGTCTAGAACAGGATATCAAAACAGGTCAACTAAATAAACAATACACTACAGGTATCTTCCTAGACTTCTCAAAGGCATTTGACATGGTTTGGCACTACGGGCTAATTCAAAAACTACAAAAAATAGGACTAAAAGGTCAAATAATTAACTATATCCAGGACTTCCTATCCAACCGAAAAATAACAGTGGGGATAGAAAAGACGCTATCGGACCAATGTCCCCTAGAAAATGGCACCCCCCAGGGCAGCATCCTTAGCCCAACACTTTTTAACATCATGATTAATGATCTTTTCGAAGGAATATCCCCAAAAGTAAACACATCAAAATTCGCAGATGACGGAGCCCTCTGGATCCACACAATAAGCATAAATATGGCCGACAAATGGGGCTTCTCCCTTTACCCTGAAAAAACAACAGGAATAGTCTTTAAACATAAAAATATGCAACCTGCCTCCCCAAGACTAAATCTAAACAATACCCCAATCAAATTCCTTAAAGAAACCAAATTCCTTGGACTAATTTTTGATGAACACCTTACCTGGGATGCCGACATCAAAAACCTCAAAACGAGATGCAGCAAGGATCTAAACACCCTAAGATGTCTCTCGGGCTCCAACTGGGGAGCTTCTAAAGATACGCTCCTATCGCTCTACATAGCACTAATACGATCAAAACTAGACTACGGTTGCGCAATCTACAATACTCTAAACAATTCACACAAAACTAGACTCAATCCAATATCAGGCCCTAAAGATAATCACACGAACACAACACGGTACGGCAAACACCGCACTACAGGCCCTAACAGGAGAAATTCCACTAGAGCTCCGAAGGGAACAACTAACAATAAACTTCTGGGCCGCGTCCCAATCAAATCCCTTAATCCAAACCATGAACAACATCAGCTCAAAAAATCAAGCCACTACTCACCCCAATATCCCAAAGGATAACAAATTATCTCAATGAACACAAAATAAATAACCTAGAACAAAACACTAAAACCTCCAAAATCTTCAACCCCAAACTCGAAACCCCTAAAATAGACACAACATTAGCTGACACACTAAATAAACACACCGACCCAAACTCAGCTAAAACCACAACACCAGCGTACATCCATGAAAAATGGCCAAATTGGTGTCACATCTATACAGATTCGATCTCCAATCACACAGGTTTCGGAGTCTACATATCGCAACATACAAAATCCCTTCGACTCCCAAACAACCAATCTATCTTCACGGCCGAACTAATGGGCATGGCCTCAGCCCTACACAACCAAGAAACCAAAAAACACCAAAAAAATACTAATACTAACAGACTCCCTCAGTGGTCTAAAAATAAAAACACCAAAAAATTGCCCCAAACTAATTAACCAAATACTCAAAAGCTCAAACGACCAAACTAGGGCAGGTAAACAAATAGAATTCATTTGGATACCAGCACACGTAGGGATCTATGGAAACGAAACGCGGACAAAGCAGCAAAATTATCACTAAAACTACCAGAAATTAACCTTAACCTACCTCTCTCTAAAACAGAAATAAAAAGTATCACCAGACGAAAAATTTCTAAAAAATGGCAAAATATTTTCCAAACATCCAAGTGTCAAATAAGGAAAGTCCTCCAAAAAACGCTAACCAAACCTTAAACCCTCCACTCAACAAAAAGAATAGACAGATTAATTACCAAACTTCAAACAGGACACACTAATTTAAATAATCACCGCAGAAGAGCCAAACTACAAACCACAGGAACATGCCCTCACTGCACACATCCAGAAACACCAGAACACATGCTCTTACACTGCTCACACTATCAAACCCAACACACAACACTTAAAAATTCCATAACCCCAAATACAACATTAACTCTAGAATCAATCCTTAATCCAAAAAACCACCCAGACACATTTAAAGCCCTAGGCAATTACTTAATTAAAACTAAACTAATCAGCCGAATCTAAACGCTAAACTCTCCCTAAAACCAACCATATAAAACCACAATCATAAACACCACACTCATCCCTTAAGACTTCCTCCTTCACCCCTGGTATTGGTTATATAAGCAACCAATAAAGCCCCCACACTGGTTGCACCCTCCATTTTTTCCCCCATTTGGCAAACACACTAAATGGCCCGGCAGGCCCGTGTGCAAAATACGCTGCAGTCGGAAAGCACACCTAAAATCTCTTATGTAAGTAAGTAAGTACCCTCATTCAGTCTTGCTTGACAACGGTATTAGGATCTATACCGAAACATACCTTTTTACACAAAGTTGTTATCCATAAATTGTGTCTACTTTGTCATCTGCCAACTTCTAAGTAATGCCTCTCAAACAATTCAACTGTCAAGAACTTTGCAAGTTCGCTTGTCTTCAATATGAGCAACAAAACATTTTCATGTGACGATTTATTTGAACGAGAGAGTTGTTCGAGATGATCAGGGAGGCTTTGGTCATTTTGATTATGACATTGGTGACGTTATCGTGGAGAAAGTTCCAATCCAAGATGACATCATTCCAACTGTCAACTTGAATCAACAAGATGGCGCCTCTCTTCCTGCCCTTGCAAGTGCAACAGAAACATGTTGCAGAAATTCAATTCAAAAACAGTGCTACCAATACTTCTGGACTGAGCTAAAAAGGTGAGGTGTTAGGAGAGATCGTAGATACTTAAACTTGAAGAGACGGATATTAAACGTAGCAGCAGATGAAGGATTGGTGTGGACAAAACGGGAAAGTGATCCCTGATTGTATTTTAAAAAGTGTGCGCGAAGTGTATCGAAAACCATCAAACAAAAAATACATGGAACAAGTGTGGATCTAATGATTAAACTCAGTGTGTGTGAAAGTTCTGTGAAAGAAAAGGAAATCCATAATTAAAGTTTTCTTGGAATATGTGTGTTGGAGTTTTCGTTTATCGTAAGTACAATATTTAGCCTAATAAAGGTCAAAACATCTAGTATATTTTGTTACTTATTTATCAGTTGCTTATGTGTATTGTTATGTTGATATATGTGACGTATTCATATTTTGTAGGCGAGCTAAGAAATATTGGCACAACTTCTGGTGCTTCAAATTAGGCCTCTTCCTAAACACTAGAAGAAAAATATGTGTAATAATTTAAGTTTTATAAATATTAATTTGATAATTGTGTGGAATAGATCTAACTGTTGAATGCAAATGACCAAAACTTAAAAAATATCTGTAATTTTCGGATTGAACAGAAAGAATCTTGTCGCTAATACTTATGTAACTAACGTCAATTTCTCATTTATGTATCGTTACTGTTACATCAACAGAAATTGTTGTTGTGCTGCCGTTCTGCCATAAATATATACACCATAATACACTTTGAAGACAAATGCATTGAATGTGTCACATGTACACATGACCATGTGCTTTGCTATTTATAGCGCAACTGTAAACAAGCTCCGCCCACTGTGAGTGATGCAGACACTAAACATGATCAATTCAATATTTTTATGATTTAACTACAGAAAATTTATTGACTTCTATCTAAACATGGAGTCATTTGTGGTATCCAAGGTTTGTCATTCAAGTTGACGGTCAATGGTGATCTTTTTACTTTCGGTTTTCAAAAAGCTTCTCCCGACACTTGGTTGTGTTTACATTGTCAGTCACTGTTCAAAACTGAAACACTCTGCCACCTTGGGGGCTATTTATAGTCAGGGTGGGGCTCTAAAGCATGTAAAACAAAGGGAACAATGTGTAAAACCCATTTCTGGCATAAGAATCCAAGGTCGGATCCAGAATTTTTTTTGGGGGGGCGCATATCAAAATGCCTTCTTGGGGAGGTTGTCTAACTACAGTTGCTTTTAATAGTGTGTGTGTGTGGTGGGGAAGAGGGGGGGGGGGGTTGTGCTCCCATGGAACCATCCTCGCTTCCTCCTCTCTCTCACACCCACTCACTCACCTTTTATTAATCATTATAGGTCAGCCAACTTGAGTTATTGTTGTTTATGTCTATTTCAGAGAAGGCCATGACAAGTTTGACCTGGTACATCATGTGACAGTGAAATACATGCCACCAAAAGGAAGTTGAGCGATCAGGATCTGGCCTTGGATCAAAGTATATGACCATATCATTGTGAATGTTCTTTAATGAAATAAGAATAAGGGTGAATTGTCTTGAGACAAACAGTTACTAGGATACATATATTGTTTTAGGAACATATGTTAAAAAATATATCAATAGCCTGTGAAAAAATATATAAATAGCCTATTAAAAACCTATGATTTGTGATGTGTTGTTACTCCAGTTGGAATCGGATAGATCAACATATGATTTATTTATAATATGGCAGTAATTATTACTTCAGTATATTAAACAATAAAACAATTTGCAAGTGATCTATGTATAGAAAAGTTTTTACAGTTTTAAAATGGGTACCTGGTGGTAGAAAGGCAGACTTGGCGCCAGAGACTGCTTGTTATACCAAACCATTTATACATGCAGTTGTTAAGAGGACTCCAGGTAGGTTCAAGTTTGAGAATCCTTTTCAGTGCAGATTACCTTATGTGATGTCAGATCGTCATTACACAGTTGTGAGATTGGTACCTGGTAGAAAGGTAATTAATCAGAAATGGCATATACAAAGCACCATGATTTACACATTTTGGTTTATATATATATGTCCCTAGTGTGGTAGAAGTTTAGGTGATAAGATTCAGAAGATGTTTTTTTAAGGAGGGTATCCCCAAAATAACTAAAGTTACTGGGGTATTGGTTCAGTGGGAAGCTAATATCCTGCCTGTTCCCTATATCCACAAATGGACTAATCTCACAACATACCAATACAAGACCAAAGTATACCTGTCTCATCAGTACTCCTGGACTACTCCACTTAACCCATGGCTAATTTTCCTTTGTTGTTTTAACTAGGTTATAGTTATAATGGCATGTGGTTGTTCGGGAGACTACCTTCGGGAGTGATGACACTTTCGCTGTAATACTATCCAGCCATAAGCAAAAATGCAGAATTCTTTAAGTCTTTTGTCTGCCCAACCAGCATAGCCAGTAAGTTTGTATGTCAGTATTTCTTTTAGTGCACAATTCTTTACATTCTTAGATTTTGTAAATAGGCTGGGAAACACTTGCAGTAATGAATGACTTCATTTCTTTTTGAATCACTGTCATCCATGAGTAAATAATATTGTCCAACTTCATATCGACCTATATGCACCTATTCATATAACCATCTTCTAGATAAGTACTTAGTCAGATACTATTTATTGCTAAAGACAATTACATATTTTCATTGACATATATTAGTTATTGTTACATGAAGAATAAGATTGTTTTAAAACATGATTGTTATCTATCTGCTTTGATGTTGTATAGTGCTAATTGTCAAGTTTGTTTGGTATTACATTTAGCATATAGGTAATTTGTTATACAGTGGAACCCTGCTTGTCTTGACCCTCCTCGTCTTGACCCTCCTCATCCTGAAACCGCACTAAGTCATCTTACCCGGGCAAGGGATTTAGCTGACGACCCTTGTCGAACTAGGCTGGAATTTCCAGGCTCAATTGTAGTGCCACCAGTGGCTATTAGGACTTGTGTCCCTTCTATTGACCAATCAGATTCCGCTTTTCACATCACTTGCACAGTTTTCTGCCTCAGGGGATTCCTGCAATAATGTTTTCGATTGTCGTATAATATTTACGCTCAGTGGGACATCAGGCGTGCTCATGTAGCTAGGTTTACTTTCTATAATTATGGAGGCCACTGATTGCATGTCTGAAAAAAATATTTTACATCACTCACACAGCTGTTTCAAGTATTGAATGTAAACTTCCTCTTTTTCGTGTCGCATTTTGCTATGGCTGAAATCATATGGTAATCATATGGAAATCATATCATATATCTCATATGGTCCAATCAGAATCAAGGTTACACATTTGTGGAAATATTGTAGTCATATGGGCGATTTTCATTGTTTTATTACCGCCACAAAGAGCAGTCGGAAAAATGTTCACATCCTCAACCATCTTCTGATAATGCCAAAGATGTTTCTCCTTTGAATGTCTGCAGTATCGCAGAATTGCCAACCATAGGTAACGTTAGTGAAACACAGAATGTTTCGCATGGTGCACCTGACATAGACAGACTGAAAAAGGTTGAAATTTTCAATGAACCTGGCTTCGCGACTATATGTGGTTCCAGCATAACTCAGAAAGAAATACTATGACATGTCAGCTGTGCATATATCATGTGAAATCTAATTCAATCACAAAACTAAATTTTTATTTTGGAAAGAATACTTTCAAGAAACACCTTCAATGGTGATCACAAACAAGCTGTTGAGACTAAATATATGACATATCAGACGTTGTTTCAGTAATACTTAACGTTACATCTGAGAAGGAAGCCATGGGAAACATTCTATGTAGCGCTAGTGTTACCTGCAGATGGGGATTCTGCATCAATATCGTATTTTAAGGTTATTTTTTGTATGATCTCTCAGAGTGTGGCCCCATTAGTTTTGAAAATGTCCCCATGTTTTTGTGCTGAAGGGGTCCCTGTCCCCAACTTGTTCAGTTCTTGGCACACACACTGCGTGCATTTTAATCAAACAAAATGGCAGCACACAGTCAAGATGATCTGGTTGATAATCCATATATATTGTGATAAAACAGGTCTTACTTTACGAAGTGCATCCCATCATGTGAACACTTTCATTAAAAACATGAAAACATTTGGAAAATATCTGTTGATGCTGAGTTGGCGGTACACATACTTTCTTTGCAAATCCTGCTTATGACTGAAATCTGCAAGGCAGATTACGAACCAGAGTTTGCTACATGTTTTTGATTGGACTAAGCATAGACTCGTTAGTCGTTAGCCAAAATATTACTCCTTTATCCCAGCACAGTTCAGCAAGGGTGGAAACTGGACTTTTCTGGTAATTTAACTCCCTAACCTCGGGAAGATGCACTTACTGGACATCTCGTATGAAAAACAAAAAGGTACTATATATCTGATCGCAGTGGAAGATTGGTATGATAGAGTTGCTATTAATCTGATTTTCATTTGACACTGAGGTGAAGTTTAAGTTAATGTCTGCAGTTAATGTATCCACAAAGGCTTGTATGACCTCCTACCTTTTCCATGATTGCTTGCTTGGTCCTGTGTGTGTTAGATTGGTAGCTTTACATGTATGTATTGAATACAAGAATGTGTATTGTTTATCAAAATGTTGCTTTTATTCATTAGGGGAGCTAACACTTGTCAATTTACTAATTGATTCACATATCAGGACAATTCCTTTAAAAACGCAAGTGTCCAGGTAAGCAGGGTTGTTTTGTATTTACAAACAGTATACATGTATTTCTGATCAGAATTTTCAAAATATTTGTCATATTATCGATATTCAATTTCTGAATGTGGCTACATTTGTTCATGATCAAATCTTATCCATTTGTATTCTATGATGTCTTTTCAACTAACAGATTTGCCCATAGAATGATATGTTAATATCAATTGTATTGTTATGAATATTGCATGGCCAAACAAACCAGCCATTTTGTTTCTTGAAAATTCAGCTGGTTATGTGAGGTGAGGTGAAATGAGGTTTAACGTCGCGTCCAAGATTATTGCACTTATATAGCGACGTGCATGTACATGTATGTGATTGTGTGGCTGCTTGTACTAGTCCGTACTGATGCCGATTTATAGTGCTAGCCCACTGAGATACCATGCCGCAGTTTAGCATGAATACCCCACTCAGACACATTATACTGACTCCGAGTCGACCAGTCCTTGTTTTAGCCCCTTAATGCCGAGCGCCAGACAGGGTAACAACAAGTACCATCTTTTTACGTCTTTTGGTATGACGCGGTCGGGGATCGAACCCCGGACCTTCCGCTCTCCGGGCGGACGCTCTACCACTAGACTCAGCTGGTTATGAATTGTTGAAATTCAAGGTATAACTTTTGACTGTTTGTATGATATAAATATTGTCACTTGTCACATTCACTGCATTGTTCATCACCCTATTTCTTCCTTGTTTTTGTCAGCAGTGGGTGCTTATCATCGTCAATACTTCATGGGTTTGTATTCACTGCATTCCTTCATAATCAAATCATAAAATCAAGCTGTGTATAAGTCTCCGAAGTGAAATGAGCGAACTGTTGATATTGAAGAAACGTGAAGAGTAGATAACATTAAGGTTGTGGCAGGAGAAATCTTATTTGATGTAGCAGGATCACGAGGGGTACATGGGGTTTTATGCGTGCGGCTTTTTGCTTTGAAGCGGAAATAAAGGATTTATTCTGTCTCTCAGAAATACACGTGCAGCCTGTTCTGCTTGTGGCAGGGTGTTAGAGATTTATTCCCCCACTGAGAAATTTATTACCCCCCAAGGCGGGTTACACAGTATTTTATCAAGATCACGTGGACCAATCAGATCTCATCATTCTGACATGGAGATATGATAATGCATTTTGTCTGATGTAGTGTGAGGGCTAAATGGTCTGAGTATTCTCTTGAACCAGGCCGTGACTTGAATAGTTGCTTAAGATAACAACTACACTCCTACAGCTGATGGGTCACTGGATTATTCCCTCATTTTGGAATTTTGTGATAGTCCACGATCGGTTTATGGCATTCAAAAACGTAGCTGTTGTTTTAAAAATTCCAAAATCAGTACAGTTAGATATGGTATGAGTACAAAACGCCATGGCACTGTAAATCTGGGTACAACTCAATTTAATCTTTTTGTACCCAGGGTATATTTTGATGGTAAACCGATCGAGAGTGATGCTATCAGCACTACTACACTTCATGGGTAATGGAGGAACATAATGTGTACAAACCTGTTTGGACAATGGATGTTGATGTCAATAAAATATTTGCTCAACTGGTGCCAATGACTAAGTTTCTAAATGGGAGAAAATAAGTAGATTAAGGAAAGTAATGTTGGCATAATTATTGACTGAAATTGGTATAAACTCATCATCTGGAACAAGAATTTATATCAACCTTTTATGAACTGTGATGAGTCAAGTTAATGCAATGGCAGTAGAACTATTTTTCCTCTATCAGCACCTCTGAATTGGATATTGTTTAATCTGTGAGTCCAAACTTTTTTTAAAAATCTTGTTCAGTTTATGATTCAGAGCCTCCAAAAAATTGAAATTAAAAAAAAAGAGTAGTAGTAGGTTTTTTTTTATATTTCGTTGACCCAGACACAAAGCATTTCAGCACTAGCCCACTAGCCCCAACCAGTTTTGTTAATGTTAATTGTGCCCTAAGGGCAAGTAGAATTTCAAACACTATTCGGCCTTGTAAACCTTCTTGGTTAATTTACATTCTTGCCATTTACTGTGGCTATCAATATAAAAAACTGTAATACTATAATTAAAACTTGTTAAACATTTATTTTAGATATGTCACAAGAGGAAATAAAAACAAATATTTAAAATTTGATTTATTTATCTTTAAGTTAATTGTTATTTTTTTCGACCTACCAACTGGAATTTTTGGGCATAACACCCACACCTTCACCCACCCTCACAAGTTTTTGTAAAAACAATATGGTTAGTTTATTTGAGAATATGATCATGAAATCATAGAAGACAATTCCTGAAATTGTATGATGATGGATGTGTAAGAAAAGGTTAAGGAGACTAATTACTATCAAACTAGATAACCGAATGTTTACCCTATGGTCGTACTCTTCCGCCATAAGATCTTCCTTGCTCAGATTTTTTGGAGATTCTTTCTCTGCTTGCCTTCTGTGATGGTGCTTACTTGCTGTGATTTCTCTTCCTTCTGTGAGGCCCTCACTATTTGCTAGTGCCTGGATAGTTTTGGCTTCTACTCTCTAGTGCCTGGATAGTGTAGGCCTCTACTGTCTTGTGTGTGGATAGTGTTGGCCTCTACTCTCTAGTGCATGAATAGTGTAGGCCCTACTCTTGTGCCTGGATGGTGTAGGCCACTACTCTCTAGAGCTTGGATAGTGAAGGCCTTATTACTCTCTTGTGCCTGAATAGTGTAGGCCTCTACTCTAGTGCCTGGATAGTGTAGGCCTCTACTCTTGTGCCTGGATAGTGTAGGCCTCTACTCTAGTGCCTGGATAGTGTAGGCTTTTTTACTCTCTTGTGCCTGGATAGTGTTGGCCTCTACTCTCTAGTGCATGGATAGTGTAGGCCTCTACCCTAGTGCCTGAATAGTGTTGGCCGCTACTGTCTTGTGTGTGGATAGTCTTGGCCTCTACTCTCTTGTGCCTGGTTAGTGTAGGCCCTACTCTTGTGCTTGGATAGTGTAGGCCTCTACTCTCTAGTGCCTGGATAGTGTAGGCCTCTACTCTAGTGCCTGGATAGTGTAGGCCCTACTCTAGTGCCTGGATAGTGTAGGCTTTATTACTCTCTTGTGCCTGGATAGTGTTGGCCTCTACTCTCTAGTGCATGGATAGTGTAGGCCTCTGCCCTAGTGCCTGAATAGTGTTGGCCGCTACTGTCTTGTGTGTGGATAGTCTTGGCCTCTACTCTCTAGTGCCTGGATAGTGTAGGCCTCTACTCTAGTGCCTGGATAGTGTAGGCCCTACTCTTGTGCCTGGATAGTGTTGGCCTCTACCCTCTATAGCATGGATAGTGTAGGCCTCTACTCTGGTGCCTGGATAGTGCAGGCCTTATTACACTACTGTCTGGATGGTGTAGGCCACTACTCTCTAGTGCCTGGATAGTGTTGGCCTCTACTCTCTAATGCATGGATAGTTTAGGCCCTACTCTCTAGTGCATGGATAGTGTAGGCCTTATTACTTTCTTGTGCCTGGATACTGTTGGCCTCTTCTCTCTAGTGCATGGATAGTGTAGGCCCTACTCTCTAGTGCCTGGATAGTGTAGGCATCTACTGTCTTGTGTGTGGATAGTGTTGGCCTTTACTCTCTAGTGCATGGATAGTGTAGGCCTCTACTCTTGTGCCTGGATAGTGTAGGCCTCTACTCTAGTGCCTGGATAGTGTAGGCTTTTTTACTCTCTTGTGCCTGGATAGTGTTGGCCTCTACTCTCTAGTGCATGGATAGTGTAGGCCTCTACCCTAGTGCCTGAATAGTGTTGGCCGCTACTGTCTTGTGTGTGGATAGTCTTGGCCTCTACTCTCTTGTGCCTGGTTAGTGTAGGCCCTACTCTTGTGCTTGGATAGTGTAGGCCTCTACTCTCTAGTGCCTGGATAGTGTAGGCCTCTACTCTAGTGCCTGGATAGTGTAGGCCCTACTCTAGTGCCTGGATAGTGTAGGCTTTATTACTCTCTTGTGCCTGGATAGTGTTGGCCTCTACTCTCTAGTGCATGGATAGTGTAGGCCTCTGCCCTAGTGCCTGAATAGTGTTGGCCGCTACTGTCTTGTGTGTGGATAGTCTTGGCCTCTACTCTCTAGTGCCTGGATAGTGTAGGCCTCTACTCTAGTGCCTGGATAGTGTAGGCCCTACTCTTGTGCCTGGATAGTGTTGGCCTCTACCCTCTATAGCATGGATAGTGTAGGCCTCTACTCTGGTGCCTGGATAGTGCAGGCCTTATTACACTACTGTCTGGATGGTGTAGGCCACTACTCTCTAGTGCCTGGATAGTGTTGGCCTCTACTCTCTAGTGCATGGATAGTTTAGGCCCTACTCTCTAGTGCATGGATAGTGTAGGCCTTATTACTTTCTTGTGCCTGGATACTGTTGGCCTCTTCTCTCTAGTGCATGGATAGTGTAGGCCCTACTCTCTAGTGCATGGATAGTGTAGGCATCTACTGTCTTGTGTGTGGATAGTGTTGGCCTTTACTCTCTAGTGCATGGATAGTGTAGGCCCCACTCTTGTGCCTGGATGGTGTAGGCCACCCTCTCTTGTGCCTGGATAGTGTAGGCCTTATTACTCTCTTGTGCCTGGATAGTGTAGGCCTCTACTCTAGTGCCTGGATAGTGTAGGTCTTATTACTCTCTTGTGCCTGGATAGTGTAGGCCTTATTACGCTCTTGTACCTGGATAGTGTTGGCCTCTACTTTCTAGTGCCTGGATAGTGTAGGCCTCTACTCCAGTGCCTGGATAGTGTTGGCCTCTACTCTCTAGTGTCTGGATAGTGTAGGGCTTATTAGTCTCTTGTGCCTGGATAGTGTAGGCCTCTACTCTCAAGTGCCTGGGTAGTGTAGGCCTCTACTCTCGTGCCTGGATAGTGCAGGCCTTATTACACAACTGTCTGGATGGTGTAGGCCACTACTCTCTAGTGCCTGAATAGTGTTGGCTTCTACTCTCCAGTGCCTGGATAGTTTAGGCCCTACTCTCTAGTGCCTGGGTAGTGTTGGCCTCTACTCTCTAGTGCCTGGATAGTTTAGGCCCCATGCTTGTGCCTGGATGGTGTAGGCCACCCTCTCTAGTGCCTGGATAGTGTAGGCCTTATTACTCTCTTGTCCCTGGATACTGTTGGCCTCTACTCTCTAGTGCCTGGATAGTGTTGGCCTCTACTCTCTAGTGCCTGGATAGTTTAGGCCCCATGCTTGTGCCTGGATGGTGTAGGCCACCCTCTCTAGTGCCTGGATAGTGTAGGCCTTATTACTCTCTTGTGCCTGGATAGTTTAGGCCCTACTCTCTAGTGCCTGGGTAGTGTTGGCCTCTACTCTCTAGTGCCTGGATAGTTTAGGCCTTATTACACTCTAGTGCTTTGATAGTGTAGGCCTTATTACTCTCTTGTGCCTTGATAGTGTAGGCCTTATTACGCTCTTGTACCTTGATAGTGTTGGCCTCTACTTTCTAGTGCCTGGATAGTGTAGGCCTCTACTCTTTAGTGCCTGGATAGTGTAGGCCTTATTACTCTCTTGTGCCTGGATACTGTTGGCCTCTACTCTCTAGTGCCTGGATAGTGTAGGCCTCTACTCTCGTGCCGGGATAGTGTATGATTGATAAAGCTATAGTGCCTGAATAGTGTAGGCCTTATTACTCTCTTGTGCCTGGATAGTGTAGGCCTCTACTCTTGTGCCTGGATAGTGTAGGCTACACTACTCTGTTGTGCCTGGATAGTATCTGCAGCATATGTGCCTAGATAGTCTAGGTTCTCTTGTGCCTGTAATCCACCTTAAGTTGGTTCTTTGAGTGGTATGATATTGCCTTCTAGAAACAATTATATCCCATTCAAGGAGTAAGACAGTAGTGTCACTTACTGATTTTATGACCCTTAGTTCAATACTCTTGACAACAAGATATGGAAATGCTCTGTTTGAAAGGCACAGTTAATTACATGCATGTTGGAAGGGACTAGATCAGACACAGGTACTAAGGGTGAAACGATACATCGGTGATACCCATGACGATCCAGGGTAGCATAGGTTTTCAGCAACCCATTCTTGCCATAAAAGGCAACTATGCTTGTCCTAAGAGGCGATGAATGGGATCAGGTGGTCAGGCTCGCTTGCATGAAGCATGTCATCGATCCCAATTGCGTGGCTTGATGCTCATGATTTCAATCACTGGATTGTCTGGTCCAGACTCGATTATTTACAGACCGCCATCATATTGCTGAGTGCGGCGTAAAACAACAAACCAAACAACAAAAAACACTGCTACAGGTTAAAAATTATTCAAATTGGATATAGATCTGGTTTGTATATAGATCTGGTTTGTATCAGTTTGCTACTCTAACCGTAATAGTTCATCAGATCCATCAGATCATGCTGTGTAATGTGACTGGTTATTATATGGGTACCAGTAAATAGTATTACTATGATTAGTAACTAGATTTTTATTAAGTTAATCTAAATATTTAAATGTCTGTTGACTTTGAATCTCTATCATTGAACTGTTATTTTTTGTGAATATCCTAAATTATATTTTTTTGTACAGAATTTAGATTTCAGGATGAAATGTTATTGGATCACTGTCAATTTCTATGGTGCTATTTGTAACACTGAATACTTGCATTCCATAATACCATTCGGCTCTTCTGGTATCATAGAGAAGTAAGTGATATGTTATAGAGTATCTTAGTGGGAACAATTTTAAGTAATCTGAATGATTAATTCAACAAGTCAAAATTGTTGATGTAAACTCTACAAGACTCAAATTCCTTCCTAACTTGTTCTAGAACATCAACATTATTTGAAAATCAAATTTGCTGAATTCTTTTTTCAAACAAAATGGAAAGAGATCTGAATTTTTGTGTCACCTTTGGCAATGGAATAAGAACCATACTAGTACACTCTTCATCAGATGGATTGTATTAGAATGATTTGTATAAACATTGCTGGGGTAGGATTGACTAAATAGATCGGGTGGTCAGGCTTGGTGACTTGGCTGATTTGCGTGTCATTGTTTCCCAATTGTCTGATTGAGAGTTGATTATTTTAAATACAGACCGCTGTCATATAGCTGGAGGGGGACGCAATTCACTGTGCAGAGTTGCGTCCCTTGGGCACGCCAGAAACCTTTGATTGTGGGTTCGAATCCTGGTTCACCCCGATTATGTTTCTAGGTTTGTCAGCACCATACCCATCCTTGTGGGTTACACCACTTTAAGCTGACACGCCACGATATAACTGGAATACTGTTAAAAGCAGCGTTTAAACCCAACTCACTGACTCATATAGCTGGAATGTTGCTGAGTGCGGTGTTATAAAAGAATAGTAATTAAAAAAAGGCAATGCTCGGAGATCTCTTCCACTTAAGGCAAGTCCAACTCATTTCATGTTTCATGGGGTATTTTCTCAGTATGCCAGAAGGTCGGAGCTGTATCGGAAGATAAGACAATGCTGTTAAGTATGTATGACGTTTAAGAATTTCCGAAACAAAATCTTGAAATTAGTTTTGACAAAATTTTGATAATTCATTGTTTTCAATCATACAAGGCATAGTGTAGTTTTGTTAACTTTAGGTCTCACCTAAATTTACCAGAAAAGAATTTTGCTGATAACCAAGAAATGTCATTTCATTTCTGCAACATTTTATGAAAATAAAAAGTTGGCAGTGACATTTGTTTCATAAGATCTCCAGTAAAAGGAATGCAGTTTAACAAACCACCTTGTTTAAGTACATGTCACATCTTTGAACTATCTGCTAAATCTCACAGTATGTTGACCCTGCTACAAACACAACATTTATTAGGTCAGGTAGCTCAAATATTGCCCATTTATTGTTTTTATCAAATGGGCATCATTGGGTTGGAAGTTTACATTGACATAGAGAATGTTTGGTAAAGATGTGCATTCCAACTAAAATGACAATGATAAAACTGTTGTTACAATTCTTCCTTTGCCAATGCTTTCTCTAAGTTTCATATTGTGATCCTTTTGTTGTTGAATGTTAATTTACATGTTAAAATCGAAAGATGTTACCTTCTGAAGATACTCAAGTCTTGTATGTGAATTGCATTTTTGCTAGTCTTGTTTATGTGATGGAACAATTTGTAGGTTCAATGTGGGAACAGGTTTTGCATTACATCGGATATGTTGTGATATGGCAACAATATTGTTGACGGGCATGAAACAAAGTTAATAAATATCTTTTGGGAAGCTTTTGATTGATACAGCTTTTCCACTTGACAACAAACAAGAGCAAGAGCCTGTTCAAATGACTGATATGAACAACTATAGTTTAGAAATGAAATAAACACTGACAGACTACTAGCTGACCATAAACACTGACTGGTGAAATCCCTAGCAGGGATGTTAATACGTTTGCACTATGTTCATTGTGTAGCATCTTCCCAAGGCAAGGGAGTTCACTGACTGTAAAAGTCTAGTTTCCACCCTTGCCAAACAAGGCTGGAATTTCGTGACTCGAGTGTAGCACCACCAGTGGCTATTACAAATTATGTCCCTTCTGTGTCGATCCTATTGACCAATCAAATTCCACATCTCATATTACTTGCATTTGCTTCAAACAAAATGGCGGTGCCCAGTGAAGACAATCTGATCGGTAATCAAGATCTATATTGAAGTAAGATAGGTCTTACTTGGCAAAGTGCATCAAATCAAGTAGAACCTTGATTGAAAACATAAAACAATTTGGAAAATATCTGTTGGTGTAAGTTGACAGTACACATGCTATGCAAATCCTGCAATTGACCAAAATCTGCACATTAGTTTACGAACCGGATGTCAATTTTGTTTGATTGGACTGTGCATAGATTCATTAGTCCAGCAAAATAATAACTTCATAATTCTACCTAGTTCGGCAAGGGTGGAAACTGGACTTTTATAGTCAGTTAACTTCCTTGCCTCAGGAAGATGTTTTGTAGGAACATTGTGTATGAGTTCATATGCCCAGTCATGAATAGATACAGAACTTGTTTTTCATTCAGACACTTTAACCTTGTTCAGGGTTTTGGCATGTCTGCTGAGTATCGCCAGAGTTGCCCACTGATTCCCGAATTAACCTGTTCCACTAGAAATAAGGACTTGCACAAAACGATCTTAGTGCTAAGACTATCGTAAGCCTATGTTAAAGTATGGGAGTTAAGATCATCTTAGCGCTAAGATTGCTTTGTGCAAGTGGGCCCTTGTTTGAGTAGTGGATAAAGTGTAACCCTGCTAAGCCGCACTTAATTGTCAATATGTTTTCTGTAGTAACGATTCATGACTGGAGCAATGTCTGCTTGTATGTATGTAGATGCTTCCAACAGTAATTATCTGGAATACTTGTTCTTCAAAGTAACAGCGTTATACTGCATTGAATCCTACATCAGTTGGAGAATGTGGAGAACCCAAAGTTAGAAGTCACTCTTTACAATTCAAGTTGTTGAATTTTTTTCTCCAGATATGTTTGTTACAATTTCCAGGTTTTGGATTCCATCAAATGCTTCTTTGTTCTGTATGTTGTATGTTAAGGTTGTGATTCCACTTGTTTGTTTAATATTGTCATCCTTATCCAAATGTTTATGTCTAAGCTGCCAGGCATAAATGTTGTGTCCCAGAAATAAAACTCTCTGAAAAACTGCCTTGTTTAATGTAATATTTTCCTGTGACATTTTCCTGTACTTGAGAGGAGGAGCATACAACAACAAGGTTGGTTTCTATGGGAAATACTAAGTCAGTAGCTTCAGACAATACTTCTGTCCCTTCTCAGAAAGTGAGCTGAATGCTAAGTTTATGTTGAATTTTTGGAGCGAGGATAGTCCTATCACTATGACTGAATCGCATTTCACTGTGGTGGTGCTACATTACCTTTTTTATCAAAAACAGGACTTTGTTATCGATGTGATAAACCAATCTGACAAACGTGGTACCACAATCCAACACATATGGGGATGAGGGCATCAAACAGGAACTACTTCTGCAGTCCACACATCGATGCAATGTCTGGGTGATTGGTTTCCCTATGTATGGGGGTGTTTCTGTTGACAAACATGACTGGAGATCACTTGACACTATGTGATACAAGTGCAGGTTCACTCATATTCTATTCATGCACGGTTTCTAATGATACTTAATTGAGTAAGACTAATCATGGATTAATTTAGGAATGATATTATATGATGAGGAGATTGTAACCCTCATGTGTTTCCGAATAATACAATTTTTATTCCTAACATTATATACACAAAGAAAAAAGTTAAGCACACCCCTATTTCTGAACCATGACAAATGGCAAAAATCATGGAGCTGGGCGATACCAATGTCATCGGATAGAACAAACATTTGACAACAAATATAGAAGATATTGGTGAGTTGTGATTGAAATTTACTCACAATAACATCATGGTAACACAGATACTGTTTTTGACCTTAGACAATACCTAAAAAAAGTATGGAGCTGCAGGATTAATTAACAAGTTACGTGTAATGTTTCATGTGAAAATGTTCCTTAAAGTCTCTACTTGACATGACTCATGAAACAGATCAGTAGCGGGTATAACCGCCACGTGCCCGGATGATGCATTCCACCCTTCGTCTCATGTCTCCAGTCAGACGTTGGATCTGTTGATAGGTCAACAACAACCACTCCTGATGCAATGCTGCTTCCAAGGCGTAAATCTTGTACAGGAGGATCTGGTGCCGCCCCAGAATATCCCAAACATGTTCAAGGAGGTTCATATCTGGGCTCCTTGGTGGCCAGGGTAGAGTCGTTATTGCTTTGGTCGACTGCATGCGAACAATTGTCATCCATGTACTTAGGTCAAGTAGCAAGAGGGCGGTTGTCAAACAATTGTCATCCATGTACTTAGGTCAAGTAGCAAGAGGGCGGTTGTCAAAATGAGGAACGACGACTGGCCTCAAAACATCCCGGATGTACTGAGACCCTGTCAAGTTGCCCCTTATGGTCACCAAATCCAACCTGCAATCATCCCCAAACCATTTCCGAGCCCCCGCCGTATGCAACAGTCAGTTTAATGTTCCTGGGGGTGTAGGCCGTGTTCCGGTGCTTCCAAACTTTCGTTCTTCCATCAGTGGCGTGGAGCAGAAAGCGACTCTCGCCTGACCAATGGATCCGTCTCTAAGTTCTCAGAATTCCAGTTCTGTTGCGCAGTACACCATGCTTAACGAGCAGCTTTGTGGTGATCTCTCAACAAGGGACTCTTTATGACTCGTCTAGTCCTCAGTCCTGCTTTCAGACGGTTCCTGGCGGTTCTGGTGCTGATAAGACGATTGGGCAACCACAGCTGTTTCATCCGAGTACTGGTTAAAAAGGGTTCTCGGCGTATGAGACGAAGAAGGTCCCTGTCTTCGCGATGTGTTGTCACAGGAGGTCTTCCGGATCTGGGACGGTCCTGTACATAACCGGTCTGAGCATGTTTCTCGACTAAACGGCTTACAACAGACTGATGAGACCTCAAATTCCGGCCAATGGCATAACAAGACATTCCTGCGTTATGCATGCCGATTATTTGCCATCTTGTGGCGTTAGATAATCGCCTTCGTGCCATGGTCATGCAATGTCATGGAATAAATGCTTAAAACCGAGCTTAAGAAAGCAATTTTAACGTTTGGATATATTACTTTTGGAGAGACTCAAGGGTAGCATGCTGCAGGGAATACAATGCATGGCACGTCAGCTTTCGTCATGCATAACTGATTAGATCATCTCGAGAAAACATCATTCTTCCCGTAATTATATCTTTCATGACTGTTACAAATATTGGGACCAAACAATAATGACATATATTAGGGTGTGCTTAACTTTTTTCTTTGTGTATATTTACCGTATGGAAACACACTCGTCCACCGGTAGCCAAAGTTTGGCCATCTCATGGCGACTTTCGGTGCCTCTGCTTCCTGCACGATACCCCAGCAGGATTTACGTCATCACTTTAGCTACTGGTGGTTGTTACCTGTGAAGATCGGGGTAGAATACGTCTTCAGCAACCCATGCTTGCCGTAAAAGATGATTATGCTTGTCGTAAAAGACGACTAACGGGATCGGGTGGTCAGGCTCGCTGACTTGGTTGATGCATGTCAGCGAACCCAATTGCGTGGATCGATGCTCATGATATTAATCACTGGATTGTCTGGTCCAGACTCGATTATTTACAGACCGCCGTCATGTAGCTGCAATATTGCTGAGTGCGGCGTTAGACAACAAACCAACCAACTGGTGGTTGTACACAATACAAGCCAATATTAAAAAATGCTCAGCAACGAGTTTGCTTTTTATAAAACACTGGTTGAAGACAGTTACATCGATTATGATGGGAATAGTGTATCACATATGGGGACAATAATTTTATGGTACTCACTGGGACTCCTTGGCAAAGCCTTCAATAATCTCTGTTGATACAAAGTATCACACCAAATTTAAAAACAAGCAATTAGTTATTCACATACATATGTAAAATTTTTGATAGACCAATTTCCTTCTAGTAGCTGAGAATGAGATTTACTGATGTACTGTTTGATTATGTGAATCCCTTGTAAATGCAAAAGTCCACACAGTAAAGCAAAACATACTTGATGGTGAACCCCTCAGCACAAGGGACACGCTTGGGAGGCTCGCCCTCATCTGTTTTAAGCAGATATTCGCAGGTAAAAATGACATCGTCGCAAAACGACCTCATCTTGTCTTGAATGACAACCCAAGTAAGTATGACCATTGTTGGTTTAAGTTCTTGAAGTTTATTGATTGATATCTGGGTGTCAGACCTTTCTTGCATTAGATTCCAAGTATAACTCTCGATGGTTGGTTTGAAATCACTGTACGGGAGAAGGAGCGGAGATAGCGGTTTGTGAATTATTATGGTTCTGTTCGAATGAACAAAACCTTCCAAATGGCATGCTGGAGTCACAGGAGACTAATCACAATTTTATTTACAAAAAAATTAACAATGCACAATTTACATATCTTAGAATATAGCTGAGGGTGCCACAGAGAGTCGGTATAAGCCTCTGGGCAGTGAGAGAGGTCTGCTTGGTATTAGCGTCAAACCCTTTCTGCTTAACATTTTGCTTCTGTATGTATTTAACAAAACTTAGAACAGTAAAAAGGAATATGATTGGTTGATACACGATGGGATGTGCCCTATGGTTAATGAATGGCTAGACAGAGGGGAATATTTAATCCAGTTAATCCTGTTGGACTGGCACTAATCTTGTTGACATATTTACTTGGTGCTTGGAAAGAGATTATGTTATCACTATAGACGAGCTTGTATGGGGGCTAATCCTTAATGAGTCTAAATTGAAGTAATTGCTGAATGTTATTCTAATATAGGTGATGACAGATTTACTTAAATAAAATAGTTCAAGGCAATCTATAAGACTATGTAGACATATCTTTTGTCTTATTGGATATTATGTCTGGGAGATGTGTTCTCGTTACCTTAGACTAGCATCTATCTAAAAAGCTATGACTGAAACTACTGATATTTTGTATATGCATTTTACCTGATGATGTATATTATTTGCTAAACCATAATTATATGAAATGTTGCACTCCTAAAAGCACTTGCTGTGGATCTAATTATTATATGAGAACTTAGTATAAATGTTATATCATGATAACTAGCTGCTTTAGCTGCAGCATTGGCTTATGAGTTACCTTCTATGGCTACATGACATGGCAACCAGCAAAAGACGATGTCACATTGGCCAGTAGGAAGCATCTTTCCGGAGGCAAGGGAGTTAAAATGACTATAAAAGTCCAGTTTCCACCTTTGTCGAACTAGGCTGGAATTATGGAGTTATATTTTGGCTTGACTAACGAGTCTATGCATAGTCCAATCATACGAAATCGACATCCTTTCGAAAACTGACATGCAGATTTCGGTCGATTGTAGGATTTGCAAAGCATGTGTACCGTCAACTTAGCATCAACAGATATTTTCCAAATTGTTTCATGTTCTCAATCAACGTGCCACGTGATTTGATGCACTTCGCTCCTGGTTTTTCTTGTAATATAGACCATTTTATTTGAAGGAAATGCAAGTGATACAACTGGTGGGATCTGATTGGTCAGTTGGAGGGACATAACCCGTAATAGCCGCTTAACCAGAAATCCATGCCTAGTTCGGCAAGGGTGGAAACTAGACTTTTACAGCCAGTGAACTCCCCTGCCTCGGGAAGACGGTAGGAAAATTATTGTAAAGATCTAAAATGTCAAGGATTACAGGATGAATCGAGGTGACAATTTTATCTGAAAAGACAATGAATCTGAAAAGATGTTGAATTTTTTACATTAAGTTTATTGTTTAATATAGGTCAAAGCTGTTTAGATAGCCTTGGCCTCAGCAATGAAAATTGAACTTTTCTCTGGGATTCTTGAGGAAACAGTTTTGGATCCAATGACCGTGGCACTTGCAAATTTGCACCATCCTTGGACTGTCTGTAAAAATGGATCTTATGAGAAGTTTATTTTGTTCGAAATTGGAACATTCCTGTTGATATGCCAAAGGATTTGTTTCGGATTCCTTTTAGCTGGATGAGGGTGAGGTCTACCTCTGGCTTCACCATCTGGTTTTACCGACACAGCTAATTAATGATATTGGACAGTAATTGGATGGCTATTAACCAAATTTTGATGTGGACAAATACTCTTGGTATTCAACTTGTTCGTAGGGATGTTGCTAATATTGAGGATGATGCTGTCATGTAATTGAGGATGAACTTCATGTTATATACAATTGTCCAATTTATGCAAGTCGGCGGAAATGTATATCCCAAAGACAGTTAATCATCATTATTTTTGTTTAGAAAGACGCTGTCAGTTATCCAACAATGATACAATGTGAAATTTCTGGTTGTCGATATTTCAAGCAAAATTTCCAAACATGAATTGGGTAGGTGTTTCATGAGCTGACAATGAATGTTTTCGGCTCCTGTTGCAGTGTGTGTGGGTTTGCTCCAAAGCAGTGTGTTATTCATAGAGTGAAAATGTTTAATTGTAATCCTTACCAATATCAGAGTTATCAGGCAATTTCAGTTTTAGTTGCCAATGGTGTATTACATCTTTGAGATGGTGAACTCCAGATTTTGAACCTTTGCACTTAATCTTTTGGACCATGTTCCACACCTTGGACATGCGTGTGCGAGAATGGATGTTAGATGCATAGTTCCGTCAGGGTTGACGTTTATTTTGTTTAAAAGTAGGTCTACTAAATAACGCCCGGGGGCGCCCGGGGCGTCCGGAAGCATCCGGGAGAATGATACTAAATAATAGCGTGTATTCTATATAATTGTGTTCTTGTATTATTTATAAAAAAATAACATATAGCTGGAGGAAATTACATACACCCCTTTTCTTTTTAAATGATGAATAAGATTTCATTTTATTCGAACTGACGTGGTGGTCATAACTTAGTAGTATTTTCAACAAAAATAATCATGTACTGTAGGAAAGAAGGAAGTAAGTCAGATAGATATGATGAACATTGATTATTATTTATCATATAACGGGTAGGTTTCTCGGCAGGATAAAGCCAACGGATAAAAACGATATCCATTGGGGTCATATGCGGATAGAGATGCAAATATCAAAGGTCAAGTAGGGACTACTTTAAGTGTTTATAAACAAACATGGCGTCGCCCTCGTCATTCGGCGATCGAGTCAGAATTAACCATCGGGAATCAGGATAAACTACAGGGATAATTGCTATAATAATCAAAATAACAGTCTAATATACTGACAATCAGTGTCTAACTGTGACGTGGCTAAGGCATTTTATAAGTTTTGGTCCCTTTGGAGATATAAATTTCGAAACAATTTTGCGTCGGCACTAGGCCTAGCCAAGCAGGATCAGTAGCCACATCTGTGCTTGTAGACCTCTGCGGCTTGAAACCTTTTCCACAAATTACAATAGTTGGATTTGGCCGAAATATGTTTGAATTGTTACTTGTTTCGTTTTGTCGCTGTGTTTACATCTGACTGCACTTCTTAACGTTATGACAGAACAGGTCGACTGTCAACAACGTCTGAACATGGCCGTGACGTCTCATAGACTAGGGTTAGAATAGCTTCCCTTTGACAAAAGGCAGTAATTCTAGTGGACAGACAGATGGATTGCCGCGAAAGGCAAGTAAAACAATTGTTGTTTTGCGTATATGTTGCTTCGCCACTGTATTAGAAACATATTTCAGTTGGAACTATATTGGCTACTGTCACTGTCCGACTGGCACATCACTTACCCTGTGCCGTAATAAATATTAATGCGCGAAATTCCAGGAAACTCGCAATGTTTCAGTGATGTTTGTTAGAGAGGGAAAGCAATTTTCAAGCACAGAATTAAAGAATGACATGATATGATAATTAGGTTATCACGCTTTTGTGTTTGGGGATGGTAAATATCCTGTATTAGGAATAAACACTATGTATTCTATGTACACTAATACAATGTTTATTCCTAATGCAGGATATTAACTATCTCCAAATACCTTCGCGTGATAACCTCTATTGATTAAACATCTTATATATTGTAAATAAGAACGCGGGTTAGAATTGGTCTTCAGTAACCCCTGCTTGCCGTAAGAGGCGACTATGCTTGTGGTAAGAGGCGACTAACGGGATCGGGTGGTTAGGCTCGCAGACTTCTCAAATACGGGATTGCCTAAAAGTCGGGCCGGACCGGGCCAGCGGGTAATACTAAAAATGGATTGCAGAATAATAAAACGAAACGCGCATATCTAGGCAGATCTCAAATGTCCACAAACGTATAGTTTTGCTCATTTAATTGAGTTTGAATAAAAATGCACCTTCAACAATGTAATTAACTGATGATTATGACTACATACCGTGAGTCTCGTAGAAAAGTCAGTGTCTTGACTGTGTGTATTCTTTGATTAGAATGCTTCTCACCGACCTTAGCGTGTAGGGGTGTGATGTCCTGGGCAGGAAACGACAGTGTTTTGACTACTCTTCTTTCATTAATTAACGTGTTAAGGTAATTAACCTTTACTAATTCGTGTTAAACCAATACAGGATGTTTTCTGGAAGTGGATATTCGCGAATGTCAAAGGACTGACACGACACGTGTTAATAACTGTCCAAGCACTTCTAAAGTTCCTAACATTATTTATATCTAAAGACTAGTATTATATCTAATTATTTACCACTTTATTGTCTCATATTTCAGTAGTTAAAGAAAACACAGAGCTCAAAGTGAAGCCTTTTTCACTCTACATTCTCAACATAGTCTCTATCAGAAGTGTTTGGCTTGTGTTGGGTCCGACTTGGCCCGGGCGGTCAAAATCTACATTAAACACACAGATGTATCTTCAAATGTGTTTACATCTATAGATTAGTGTTATATCTACCTATACACCACTTTATAATGTCACGGTACATCGTATTTAAAGAATACAAGGTGCTCAAAGTGAAGCATTGTTACTGTATTTTCTTAAGAAAATCTATGTCAGAAGTGTTCGGTCCGACTTGGTTTAAGTTGATTTTAACAGCCCGGGCCAGGTCGGACCGAACATTTCTGTCTTGGATTTTTTAAAGAAAATACAGTAAAAATGCTTCACTTTAACGGCGCAGATTTCTTTGAATGCGATACACCTGGACATTATAAAGTGGTGTATTTGTAGATATAATACTAATCTATAGATGTAAACACATTTGAAGATACATCTGTGTGTTTAAAGTTGATTTTGACCGCCCGGGCCAAGTCGGACCCAACACAAGCCAAACACTTCTGATAGAGACTATGTTGAGAATGCAGAGGGGAAAAGGGCTTCACTTTGAGCACCTTGTTTTCTATAAATACTGCAATCTGTGACATTATAAAGTGGTGTATAGGTAGATATAATACTAATCTAAGATGTGAATCCATTTGATGATACATCTGTGAGGTTTAAGTTGATTTTAACAGCCCGGGCCAGGTCGGACCGAACATTTCTGACTTGGATTTTCTTAAGAAAATACAGTAAAAATGCTTCACTTTAACGGCGCAGATTTCTTTAAATGCGATACACTTGGACATTATAAATTGGTGTATAGGTAGATATTATACTAATCTATAGATGTGAATCCATTTGACGATACATCTGTGAGGTTTAAGTTGATTTTGACAGCCCGGGCCAAGTCGGACCGAACACTTCTGACATAGATTTTCTTAAGAAAATACAGTAACAATGCTTCACTTTGAGCACCTTGTATTCTTTAAATACGATGTACCGTGACATTATAAAGTGGTGTATAGGTAGATGTAACACTAATCTATAGATGTAAACACATTTGAAGATACATCTGTGCGTTTAAAGTAGATTTTGACCGTCCGGGCCAAGTCGGACCCAACACAAGCCAAAAACTTCTGATAGAGACTATGTTGACAATGTAGAGGGAAAAGGGCTTCACTTTGAGCCCCTTGTTTTCTATAAATACTGCGATCTGTGACATTATAAATTGGTGTATAGGTAGATATAACACTAATCTATAGATGTGAATCCATTTGACGATACATCTGTGAGGTTTAAGTTGATATTAACAGCCCGGGCCAAGTCGGACCGAACACTTCTGACATAGATTTTCTTAAGAAAATACAGTAACAATGCTTCACTTTGAGCACCTTGTATTCTTTAAATACGATGTACCGTGACATTATAAAGTGGTGTATATGTAGATATAACACTAATCTATAGATGTAAACACATTTGAAGATACATCTGTGCGTTTAAAGTAGATTTTGACCGTCCGGGCCAAGTCGGACTCAACACAAGCCAAACACTTCTGATAGAGACTATGTTGAGAATGTAGAGGGAAAAGGGCTTCACTTTGAGCCCCTTGTTTTCTATTAATACTGCGATCTATGACATTATAAATTGGTGTATAGGTAGATATAACACTAATCTATAGATGTAATGACAGTTGAAGATACATCTGTGTGTTTAAAGTTGATTTTGACCGCCCGGGCCAAGTCGGACCGAACACTTCTAACAGGGATTCTCTCAAGAAAATACAGTAAAAGAGCTTGACTTTAACGGCCCAGTTTTCTTTGAATGCGATATACTGTGACATTATAAAGTGGTATATAGGTAGATATAATGCTAGTCTATAGATTTAAAGACATTTGATGATACGTTTTTGTGTTTAAAGTGCATTTTGACCGCCCGGGCCAAGTCGGACCCAACACAAGCCAAACACTTCTGATAGAGCACCCGATCCAGGAAATATTACCTACTACTAGCACAGAGTTGTTAGCAACTATGACCTGCTACTAGTAGGTACAAAGACGGTCTCTACGTCTCTGGAGACTAACATTTAATGCTACTACTAGCTAACAGTAACAATTAAATAGCATAACCATATTAGGATGTATGTTCACAGGGGCGCATTTCACGCCATATTGGAACATGCAGTGTCCAACACAGCATTCAGCAGATGGTAGGATGTCTGTCATCATATTGTTGTTGTTTTTTATCTCCGGTCTAGACAGGCTAGACTTAGATTTAGTATCTTCATACGGTATATGTATTTTATACATCACCTAATTACAATTTTAACAACCAATAGATAGATCTATAGATTTTTAGTTATCCGGTCTTAATAGAAGATCGTTACGGTTTTCATTCATACATGCCATTGTATGTGTATTTGTTTGATAGAACTACACATATTTATAAGAACTGATCGTTACAAAATATATTGGCAAACAAGGTTAAAATTTGTCTTTGGAAAAATCGTCCCGACGTGGTCAGAAAGAGTTATCCCCCTTGGCCGGCATAGCGATCGGTTTTCGATCAAACATTTATCGGTTAGATCTTGCTTTTTGTTTATCTGTTCTTACTTGTTCGTTGGTCATAATGTTATCTAGTCTTTGTGCAAACATAATTTACAGTCTACAACCATTCACTATGGTACTTTTTATTTTCAGATACTGAGATGGAGAACGTCAACGTGCCGCTGACCCTGCACATGACGCATGTTTGTATTCTATGTCTGTAGGCCTAGAATGAGTGTAGGACTAACATAGATATATCATCGGGGAAGCATCAAATCTCATCTAGATTATTAGTGTTAATTAACTTGTTTTGCTGAAAGGTCTGTGTTCTTGGTTCAAAGTGAGGTCCATTTCTGGCGTTCGCTCCATTGTGAGATAAGGCCCACGCTCTAATTCACTAGTCTACATGCCCTCTTTTTTGTTTGTTTGTTGTTGTTGTTGTTGTTGTTATTGTTGTTATGATGAACACTGAGGGAATATGTAGACATATGAGATTAATAAAGGATCATAAAGATTATTGTGCATCCGGCAAATTTATAGTAAACTATACATGTATCATTGATTACCTCCCTTTGCAACCAATATGTCAAGATATCAGTACCAATTTACACATTTTTTTATTCCCAGGGTATCCAAGTGGGCTGTGTCCTGCCACATTCAGGAAATTTGAGGTGCAACCCTTGTAGGAAATCAGGTATGTTGTATTCTACCCCTATACATGTTGGGAATTACATTAATTTATATTATTATACTAAGGCTAATTTACTGTTGTATAGATTTAGCACAAGCTAAGCACAGGTACTGTGAACATTTATATTTATACAGTGCCACCATGATAAAGTCAGGGATAACAATAGAGGAATCATCATACATCAAATTAAATCATGGATGTCATGATATGAAATACCACTTTTGTAGTTTTATAGGTACCTCATTATATCAGTCTTTCCTCACTGGATCATCAGCTGACACACTGTGATATTACTGAAACACTGTTCTAAGTTGCATTAGCCAACTCAACCATTCACTATGCAAACTTACTGACCTGATTATGGCAACTGTGAAAGTATTACTTTCCCTCAGACCTTAGGCCATTTATTAAGTTATGAGGTGTGAGTTGGTATACCGTAATCAAACTACAGGCTATCATGAATACAGGAATATCCAATTTGAAGTCAAATGAGCTTATGTCATGGTGCATTATCTGTCATCTGTCCATAACTAACTTGTACACTTTCAAAACCTCCTCTGAATCTACAAGGCCTATGAAACTGAAATCTCAGCAATGATATTCTAAAACATGAGGCCATTTACAAAATATCACTTTTGCATATTACACAGCCATTTCAGATGTGGCATTATGAAACTTGATATGTGTTATGGGGTTTACATTGGTGTATTTTTTGCTTGATCTGGGAGGAACATCTTAGATATTTACCACTTGATGAGACCCACTAGTGTGGAAATGGTGCTGACAAACCAAGGAAAATAATCATGGTAATTATGGGATTTGAACCCATTGTCATAGATTTCTGGCATATGAAAGGGATGCAGCTTAGTCTCTGAAAATGTAAAATATTGATAGAAACATTTTATATTCATTTTAGTTTAAAAGTAGACCAAGTGAGATGGGCTGGGCGGAAGGGAAAATAATATGCTTCAAGGACTGTGAGACAGACAGGGATGCAACTCTGCCCAGCAAATTGAGGTGGCTTCTTGGATGACTGTATTACCTGTGCCTTCTATGGCCTTAAACTTTCACATACCTTATGAAGTTTGTTTGTGTTTTCAATATCTTCTCTGAAAATCATATTTTCAATAAGCTGAGATTTTGTGTATTTGATCCCACTAACATGATGCCAATACAACTTCAAGCTGTCAAGACATGGCAACCATATTGAACATATACATTCCACCCTTTAGAAAGCCACTTCTGCATTTATATGATGAAATTTGATATACAGTAATTATTTGGTAAACCCAACAACAGGGTCATATTTTGCAAGTTATTCTTATATTTGGAACTGCAACATTTTGTCTTCATGTGCTGCTGCAGCAGTCATGATGAATGTGTTCTTTTGACTCGTTTCATTACCAATTATTATCCCCCACAACATGTTTTGCGGGGGTATGAAAATGGACATGGTCAGTCCTTGCATTCATACTTCTGTGTAAGATTTTGAAAAAACGTTTACTATTTTCTTCACCAATCATGGTACATGGATAGGCCTAGTGGTGACCTGGTGCCTGTTGATAGTTTTGGATTTTTGTAAAATGTATCTTTTTAGTTTCCATGGCAACAACTTTGACTGAAAAAGGAGGGTAGTGCTCGTTCTTGGAACATACCTTAAAAACCTACAATATTTCTTCACCAAACTTGACACACAGATTGGTCTAGTGGTGAACTGGTCCCTTTTGATAGTTTAGAATTTTTAAAAAAATTATATTTTGAGATGCCACAACTTTGACTCATACTGAAAATGAGGGTAGTGCTCCTTTCTATGCAGATTAAATTTTTTTTAACAATATTTCCTTAACAAGCATGGCACATAGATAGGTCTAGTGTTGAACTGGTGCCTTTTGATAATTTGGGATTTTTTAAACAAATATTTAGTTTCCATAGCAAGTATTTAATATTTAGGGGATAATGGTGAATTTGTCTTCTTGCATATACTGTCATCCTTTTAATTGGTCAAGATGCTGTGAGAAAGTCTGTTCTGTAGATAAATAGTTTTGTTTCTTTTGCTTATTCATTATACCCTTGTATTGCCTTTTTGTTGTAATAATATATTCCGTGAAAAAGTACAGGGAAGCTACAGAGCCATTTTAACACCTATACCCAGGGTAGTTTGTTCGAACAGTATTTCTGTCAGTCATGTGAGGGGACAGCCAAAAGGTAATGAAGGGAAAAATGATTACATCAGAGCTACAGATAAGCAGCGTCTTTTGTGTAAAATACCCCCCAAAATTATTTAAAACCCAATAACTTTCCATTAACTTGTGTACAGAAACGCATGCATCAAATGAAAAACTCAAATTATTAAAACAGCTCGTGTAAATGCCCAATGAAGCTTTTTCAGCATGCATACAAAGGTGCTAATTTCTGAAACACAATTACAAGCTAATTTACTTTCTGAGTCAAACCTATGTATTTAGAACATTATTTCATTTTTTTGAAATCTTAAAATGTTCACTAATTTTGGGAAAGACCCAAGAGAGTGATGAATAGATGAGTGAAAAAATATTGGTTACCCAATGAAAAATGTAATAACCCAATTAAAATAGAAACCCTAGAGTAAAAACTGAATTGCTCAAAAAGTTATCTGGAGCTCTGTTACATGAATCAGTTTAATGGCACCAATACAATGGGCACATCTGGCCTCCATTAGGTAAAATCTGGTAAACTGTGTCTGTGATTTTTTGGGGTGACGACATTGCAGCCATATTGAATGTTATTTTGACCAGGTACTCATGTATCATGGTGTTATTCATTTAACAGGCTGTAATACTACATTTCAATCTCCAATGTGCTATGTTTCAGTGATCATATGTTCCATTTGGTCATGCCATCATCTTTCACCTTTTTGTGTCCTAATAATGGAATGTACCAGTAAGTGTAATAACCTTGTACCTCCAATATTTCCTATGAATCTTTTTGGAAGTGAAGCTATGATGGGTTATATATGTGTATTATCATGCATTCCAACAGTGGTATAAAATAGATCTACTGTTCTTTTCAGATTTCAGATTCAGATTATCATGCTATGGTCATACCCTTTGCATGCACCCTTGTATCTAGATTACAGGTATACTAACAGTGTTTGGATTGTTACGGACATGATCCAAGTAATTCAGTCTAAAAAAAAAAAGTAGTCACAGAATTTGATTCTTAACATTCCCAAAGGGCAACTATATGGAATGTCAGTTTTGTGTGACCTGGCTGATTTGGTGACATTACACCCCAATTACATGGATAGTTGTTAGTGCTATCAACCTCTTGCCTGCCTGGACCAAGCACCATTAATTTAAGTGGTCATAAACAATTCACTCGTTTTTCCTCATTTGTCAATCATTATTAAATATTCATATCATTTGGTGTATCTGAACATTTGTTACTTATTTCTGCATAATCTTGTTAATCTATTTGTGATGAACTTTACCAGTATTTAATTCCCTAAAAATAAATTCTGATCAGTTTCAGGCCCATTCAAACGGTAAGTAGTGAGGCATATTTTTGTTTATCCTAGATAACCTTAGCAATGTTGTCATGGGGAGGTTGATGGGTGTTTATTACACTTTTTTAACCTTCATTTGCAAAGGTATTTTTGTTGCTTCCAATTCTGATTTGTTTTACTTTAAGAACTTTCTTCTCAGAAACCAAGGTAACTAAAACCTAATGACACCTGGCATGAGTAGCAACACAATGGGACTCGGATTAAGTTATGTGGTTGTCCCAGTGTTTTAATTTACAATTTGTTCATTCAGTTCTGTGGTGTCATGTGTTGTATTTATTCTTATGAAGATTTTCATTCTTCGTATACAATGTTCACAGGTTTCACTGTCCAGTTACACAAAGCCTGGTGTAAATAGCTTGTTTGGTCCAGTTGCACCCAACAAAGGTAACATTGATATCCTCGAAACGTAGGATTCATGTCTGCATGTCTTTAAACAAACTGGTTGTAATATAGCATAGACTATTTATCCAGATAAGACAAATATACAAAATAAAACAAAATACTTTTTGAATACAAACAACATGGCCTGCTTGTCTGGTGTTTGTCATCCTGACACAACTATTAGCTCACCAAGGTGAGCTTATGCCATACCATGGGGTCCATCGTCCGTATGTCAACAATTTTTTCAAAAAACTTCTTCTTTTGACCACAAATTGACAATTAACAAAATTTGACTGGAAGCATCCCTAGGTGGTGAGGATTCAAAATTGTACAAATGGTGGGGCTGACCCCCCAAAGGGTTGGGTGGCAGGGTCAAATGGGGATAATTTGGCTATATTGCTTTAAGCGACATCTTCTCTGGAACTAAGAGATAGGTATCAACCATATATTGTTGGAAGCATTCTCCGGTGGTGAGAAGTCAAAATTGTACAAATGGTGGGGTGACCCCCTGCAAGGAGCTGAGGGGCGGGCCCAAATAAGAGTAATTTGGCTATATTGCTTTAAACGACTTCTTTATTGGAACTAAGAGATAGATATCAACCATATTTGGTTGGAAGCATTCTCCAATGCTTGGGATTAAAAATTGTACAAATGGAGAGGGCTGACCCCCCAAGGGTCGGGGCCAAATAAGAGTAATTTGGCTATATTGGTTTAAACGACTTTCTCTCTGGAACTAAGAGATAGATATCAACCATATTTGGTTGGAATCAATTCTCCAATGGTGGGGATTCAAATTGGAGAAATGGAGGGGCTGAAATTGCTTCTTGAAAAACAATTAAGAATGAAAATAAAAAAAGAGAAACTACACTCTCCAGGAAGCTGAAACTTAACTTTGTAGAAATGATGATGATAACTTGTAGCTTACACAAAGCAATGGTTCAAATAAGCTTATGTCATGGCTGTGTTCATTTATACTAATGGAAAAAAGTAACTGCTGTGTATTAAGTAGTGTAAATGTTATGTTATTGTAAATAACAACATAATATTTGGTCTTTTGTCTCATCATTGTCATATCATAACAAATTCATTGACAAAATCCATTCCTGGTAATTGGAGACGGAGAGACACGCCCCCAAAGAGGGGTGCAACTTGTAGGCGGGCACTATCCTGCTGCAACATGACGTTACGTCCCTGCATGTGCACAAAGGCAAGAACATTATCTCAAACGATGTCCTCATAACAATGATGAGTTGTGTTCTCCCATGAGTTGTGATGCCACCCCATACCATTACACTTCCACCCCAAAACTGATGATGATAAGTAATGCAAGAGTTGCTAAAACATGTATGCATATATGACATGTAGACCTTTGCACAACCATCAGAGCTCTTCAGATGAAACCCTCACTCATCTGTGAACAGTGTACTGTCCCTGTTTTTCTTCTGAACCTCAGATGCTGTCTACACCAAGTGTGACTGATAGTGCTGTGTAAGCAAAATTAGGCATATTGCTGAATATTGGGACCCGATGTTGTGCTCTCTCAACCGGTAATGTACAGTTCTGCCACTAATTCGTCTTAACCCAAGAATTGTCCGATTATTAATGTGGCAGATGATATTTGTGATTCGATGAACATTAAAAATGTTTGGCAACTTCGTTTTGCGCATTTCCTGTTTGCAACATGTCATCAAGCCGTGACAGCATTATTAATTACGGTTGAACAAAAAGAAAACAGATTTTATTAGACCCACATAGCTAAACAATCATTGTGTGCTGTTTACATTATGAAAACATGTGTAAATACCTTGTTCCCAACAAACATGAAAACACACAAATTATGCGCAGTCCATAAACATTTGCATGCAAATTGGGAATCACGACCTTAAAACTGAGGAGATGTCTTCATCAATATGCATATTGAAAGTTGCATATTTAATTTCAGATTAAACTTAGTTTTGTTCAATCTCATTAAAATCAGATCTTAGTTTTCGCAACCGCTAACCAAAGATCTGAGGAGATCCCATTACGGGTCACGTCGGAACGACCTTTCGCGATCATTGACCGACCAATGAAATGACTGACAAGAAATCGACATTAGCCAATCAGAAGGCAGCTATCTTGAGCTTTACTGCACTAGTTTCAAACTGGCGACTACGCCTCGAAACATATTTTGACATATTCTCGATTAAAAAATTTTAAAACTGACCAAAACAACATTCTGGAATGACTTATAGATGGCCTAAATTATATGGATATAATCATAAAACCCATAACTGTTATTCGGAATACCCTCTGTTAAATATTTCGAGGATGCATGATTAGAAAACACATTTTGACTGTCACTTTCAGGATCTGGTAAGTGACGCTCTGATTGGTTGGATGAAAGGTCATGCTGACTTGACCCATAATGGGATGTCCTCAGATCTTTTTTTAGCGGTAGCGAGAACTAAGATCTGATTTTAAAGAGAATGAGTTTTGTTGGCCTTATATATTAAGTATAGTTACCTTTTTCCGCTAGTATGTATGTTGTTAACGATTACACTTTCAACATCTCCTCTAGAGCTACAAAGCCTATGAAGCTGAAACTTGGCATGAATCATCCCAGCAATGATGTCAGAATTGTGACTCGATGTTAAGCGTGTCGCTATGTAACAGCAGTGTATAAAATTCCCGGAAGGGCAACTTTGCAAAATATTCTTGTCCAGATAAAATGCTTCCCGTCCAGAATTTTCTACACTAATGAACAAAAGTAACAAAATGGTGAACATAAGAAAAGTACTGTTGATTGTTAGTTCTCAGAAAATAACAATTAACTGATGGATTGTCAACTTAGTTACTTTAACTCATTGAAATTCATCAAATTCCAAATCTGATTGACTGCCTCCATGGTGTACTGCTAGAGTGTCTGCTCGGAGAGCGGAAGGTCAGAAATTTGATCCCTTGAAGCATCATTCCAAAAGACGTTAAAAGATGGTATTTGTTGTTACCCTGTCTTGCTCTCGGTAGTAAGGGCATAAAGAAGGAATGGTCCACTCGGAGTCAGTATACTGTGTATAAAATTTGTTTTGCAGGTTTTTGTTGAAGTATATATTTTTTCGAAATTCATGTCTAACTGTATCAGTCATCTCCCTCACAAAATGTTAGAAATTTGGTTGTATTTTAATAACCTTACACTTACATACTTTGAAAATAACAAAATCAGATCAAATAATCATCTGTTATCACATTTTCCTTCACACAAATATCCAGATACAAATTATGAGTCTGTCCAGAAGCCAGAAATCTTTTACCAAAAAATAAATGCATATCAGTTTCTGGATGTGAATTACAAAAAGTACACAAATTATCATAAGATATTTTAATTTTGTTTAAGAAAATATTTGTGGTAATAACACCATCTTAATTTTGTATCCTGGACACATTTAACTGGCTAGAGAAAAATTCCTTGCCAGTTTAGATAACTGCAAATTATAACTTCCCATTAAGTTTTGAATTTAAGTGAGACAACATGATATTAATCTATAATATCTTTACAGGCATTTTTAATGGACCATAACTTGATGTTGCCATGAACCTAAAATAAATGTATGCTATACCCACAAACGGTCAACTGTTTCCTGATTGGCTGATAATAGAATGGGCGGGGCTTGTTTTTCATTATATTGGGTTAAACAATGTCACTGAATTTCTATTGTTCTCTTCCTGGTTTTTTTATGTAAGTAATTAAATAAGGAGTCTATGAAGTTGTTAATATTGACATTTTTATTTAAAAGAATTGACTCCTATATAATTTTAAATTAATGTGGGTATAAATGTAAAAATTAGGTGTACTACGTGGATTTATTTATATTGAAGTTAAATCATAAGTTATTTTTCCATGAAAAATGTTCAATCAATGGTGATGACATCACTTATGTGAATATTTTCAACCTTTTCAGGGCAACTACTATGCTGTAATGAAACTTGATGGTATCAGTTTCCACCAACGCTAAACTACATATACAGCTCCCAATACAGTGTGCTTTGAGAAGGGAGAGCAACTATGCCCTGTACGTTTCTGGAAAGAAGAAGTGTTGAGAAGAAGAGTTCTGTGTTGAAGTCAGCATTGACATCCTGAGTAGTGAAAAGATCAGCAGGTAGTAGCATCAGTTCGCTACTGTGTGGAGGGACAGTGTTTCTCCCTATACTCATGGACAGTACTGTACATCTAAACATATGATTCATATCATATATTGTTTCATAATGTGAGGTGTGGCGTTTTTCATTCATAATATCAATTATCATATATGGCGAATTTAGCATCTTACAAATATACTGTGCATGGAATTTCTTCACTTACACTGTTTTCAGCATTTTGAGGCAAAACTCTTTTCATGTGTTACATTTATGTTTATTGTTTCCTCAACAATAAAGAACTAGCAAAATGATGAATTTTGTTTGTAGTTGATTGATTATGACAAGGGTAAACAGTATTATGTAGGCATGAATGTGTTCATGTATTCATCACCGAACGACATGATGTCAAATGGCTGATTGTGTTAATGTGCCCAATGTCATGGGTTTTGCTGATCTTGTCAGCCACTGATTTGCCTTGTCCACAATACATTACCAGCCACCATGCTATAGCTTACATTACAATCCTGGCAATCCATGCTACAGATTATGATTTTACATCCAAACAGATGGTAAGTTAGACAGTACCAAAATAATGATGTCACCATATTATCTCAACAGTAATATGAAACACGAGGTGCTTTGGTAATGGTTACTACCCAATATATGTCCGACAGTGACATAAAACTGCGTTATTCTTGAATCAGACGCTAATGTCGCTAAATATCAACAGAAACATGAACCTAATGGTTCTAGGGTTAGGGTTTCTGCCCAATATATGTCCGACAGTGATGTTAAACTGGGTTATTCTTGAATCAGCCGCTGATAATCTCGTATCTCAACAGAAACATGAATCATGAGGTGCTAGGGTTAGGGTTTCTACTCAGTATATGTCCGACAGTGATGTAAAACTGGGTTATTCTTGACACAGACGCTGATGTTCTCGTATCTCAACAGAAACATGAATCATGAGGTTCTAGGGTTAGGGTTTAAACCCAATATATGCCCGACAGTGATGTAAAACTGGATTATTCCTGATACAGACGCTGATGTTCCCGTATCTCAACATAAACATGAATGATAAGGTGCTAGGGTTAGGGTTTCTACTCAATATATGTCCGACAGTGATGTAAAACTGGATTATTCCTGATACAGACGCTGATGTTTTCGTATCTCAACAGAAACATGAATGATAAGGTGCTAGGGTTAGGGTTTCTACTCAGTATATGTCCGAAAGTGATGTAAAACTGGGTTATTCTTGATACAGACGCAGATGTCATGAAATCTCAACAGAAACATGAATGATAAGGTGCTAGGGTTAGGGTTTCTACTCAATATATGTCCGTCAGTGATGTAAAACTGGGTTATTCTTGATACAGACGCTGATGTTATGAAATCTCAACATAAATATGAATCATGAGGTTCTAGGGTTAGGGTTTCTACCCAATATATGTCCGACAGTGATGTAAAACTGGATTATTCCTGATACAGACGCTGATGTTCTCGTATCTCAACAGAAACATGAATCATGAGGTTCTAGGGTTAGGGTTTAAACCCAATATATGTCCGACAGTGATGTAAAACTGCGTTATTCTTAAATCAGACGCTGATGTTCTCGTATCTCAACAGAAATATGAATGATAAGGTGCTAGGGTTAGGGTTTCTACTCAATATATGTCCGTCAGTGATGTAAAACTGGGTTATTCTTGATACAGACGCTGATGTTATGAAATCTCAACATAAATATGAATCATGAGGTTCTAGGGTTAGGGTTTCTACCCAATATATGTCCGACAGTGATGTAAAACTGGATTATTCCTGATACAGACGCTGATGTTCTCGTATCTCAACATAAACATGAATCATGAGGTGCTAGGGTTAGGGTTTAAACCCAATATATGTCCGACAGTGATGTAAAACTGCGTTATTCTTAAATCAGACGCTGATGTTCTCGTATCTCAACAGAAATATGAATGATAAGGTGCTAGGGTTAGGGTTTAAACCCAATATATGCCGGACAGTGATGTAAAACTGGATTATTCCTGATACAGACGCTGATGTTCTCGTATCTCAACATAAACATGAATGATAAGGTTCTAGGGTTAGGGTTGCTACTCAATATATGTCCGACAGTGATGTAAAACTGGGTTATTCTTGATACAGACGCAGATGTTATGAAATCTCAACAGAAACATGAATGATAAGGTGCTAGGGTTAGGGTTTCTACTCAATATATGTCTGACAATGATGTAAAACTGCGTTATTCTTAAATCAGACGCTGATGTTCTCGTATCTCAACAGAAACATGAATCATGAGGTGCTAGGGTTAGTGTTTCTACCCAATATATGTCCGACAGTTATGTAAAACTGGATTATTCCTGATACAGACGCTGATGTTCTCGTATCTCAACATAAACATGAATGATAAGGTGCTAGGGTTAGGGTTTCTACTCAATATATGTCTGACAGTGATGTAAAACTGCGTTATTCTTAAATCAGACGCTGATGTTCTCGTATCTCAACATAAACATGAATCATGAGGTTCTAGGGTTAGGGTTTCTACTCAATATATGTCCGACAGTGATGTAAAACTGGGTTATTCTTGATACAGACGTAGATGTTATGAAATCTCAACAGAAACATGAATGATAAGGTGCTAGGGTTAGGGTTTCTACTCAATATATGTCTGACAATGATGTAAAACTGGGTTATTCTTGATACAGACTCTGATGTTCTCGTATCTCAACATAAACATGAATCATGAGGTGCTAGGGTTAGGGTTTCTACTCAATGTATACACAGTAAAAAAAGTGTTGCACCCCCACATTAATACGTTTGATACATCACAACATTTAAAACGCCCGACTCTGGTTTTAATGGTAGGTATTCCTTGGGGATCTGATGTTAAATGTGTAATGTTTTCGGAGGGAAGATGATCACCAAAACGTAGCAATCAGCACGTGAATTGCATGGTGCATGACATTTGCAGATTGCAGTATCTTCTTAAGCTCAACATCGCCTATAAAAGATGTTCTCTGACAGCCCAGTTTATTGTAACCCACAATGCCGGGTAGACGATTGTCAGAAGCAGTCAAGTGGCAGACTATTGGCCTTCATGGAGCAGGTCTTTCGTTCAAGGAGATTGGCAGAAGAACCGGACATCACTACTCAACAATAAGCCGTTTGGTCAGAAAACACGCACAAACTAATGATGTAAGGAATCGCAGACCCTCTGGCAGACCACGTAAGACCACAGTTAGAGATGACAGAGCGTTGTTGAGGGTGGTAAGGCGTCATCCATTTGCTACAAGCACAACCTTGAAACGTCTTTGGCTTCCTCGTCAACAGTTCAGTACCCAGACCGTGAGAAATCGTCTTAAAGCTGCAGGGTTGAAGTCCAGAAGGGTTATCAAGCGACCTAAACTCACAGACAACCACAAACGACTACGTCTAGCCTGGTGTAGACTGAGACAGAACTGGAACTTGAGGTCCTGGAGAAGAGTCCACTGGTCGGACGAAAGCAGGTTCCTTCTGCATGTTGTGGATGGCAGAGTGAGAGTATGGAGGCGTCCTGGAACAGCTTATACTGCAAGAAACATCATGCCAACTGTACCATATGGAGGTGGATCTGTTATGGTCTGGGGATGCTTCTCATTTGATTGTAAGCTTGATTTAGTGACCATACGAGGCAACTTGACAGGGGAGCGCTACATCCAAGAGGTGCTGAATCCAGTTGTGGTGCCCCATTTTGACAATCATCCACTGGCCACCAGACCGATATTCATGGATGACAATGCCAGACCACATCGTTCACGAGCTGTGACCCAGGTTATCCACAACAATGCTCTGACGCAGATTCCATGGCCAGCAATGAGTCCAGATCTGAATCCTCTGGAACATGTATGGGACATTTTGGGACGCCTGATTTATCGTCGGGACCCTCCTCCACAGAACTTGCGTGAATTGGAAGCAGCATTACACGAGGAGTGGCAGCAGCTGCCCATGGAGCGATTCCAACGTCTGGTGAGGAGTATGAGACGAAGACTTCAAGCTGTGATCCAAGTGCTTGGTGGAAGTTCTCGATATTGACTTACTGTGTTCGTCAAATCTCCATATGACATTCTTACCCTATTGGATGAATTTGGTCACTAAAAATTATTGAGATGTCACCATACTTAATGTGTCTTCGTTGTTCGTTCATTTTTCGTAAAAGTTCAGCATGAGATTATTACATGCCATAAGGTCATGGAATACCCCATTTAAGTTCATTGTAAAGACAATACACTGGTTTGTTGGTATACACGAAATCCTGGTTATAATATTAATTCGGTTATCTTTACACCCTTTCAAAACACCCCTCCATGAAAAAGTATAGGGGGTGCAACACTTTTTTTACTGTGTATATGTCCGACAGTGACGTAAAACTGGATTATTCCTGATACAGACGCTGATGTTCTCGTATCTCAACATAAACATGAATGATAAGGTGCTAGGGTTAGGGTTTCTACTCAATATACGTCCGACAGTGATGTAAAACTGGATTATTCCTGATACAGACGCTGATGTTTTCGTATCTCAACATAAACATGAATGATAAGGTGCTAGGGTTAGGGTTTCTACTCAATATATGTCCGAAAGTGATGTAAAACTGGGTTATTCTTGATACAGACGCAGATGTTATGAAATCTCAACAGAAACATGAATGATAAGGTGCTAGGGTTAGGGTTTCTACCCAATATATGTCCGACAGTGATGTAAAACTGGATTATTCCTGATACAGACGCTGATGTTCTCGTATCTCAACATAAACATGAATCATGAGGTGCTAGGGTTAGGGTTTCTACCCAATATATGTCCGACAGTGATGTAAAACTGGATTATTCCTGATACAGACGCTGATGTTCTAGTATCTCAACAGAAATATGAATGATAAAGTGCTAGGGTTAGGGTTTAAACCCAATATATGCCCGACAGTGATGTAAAACTGGATTATTCCTGATACAGACGCTGATGTTCTCGTATCTCAACATAAACATGAATCATGAGGTTCTAGGGTTAGGGTTTCTACTCAATATATGTCAGACAGTGATGTAAAACTGGGTTATTCTTGATACAGACGCAGATGTTATGAAATCTCAACAGAAACATGAATGATAAGGTGCCAGGGTTAGGGTTTCTACTCAATATATGTCAGACAGTGATGTAAAACTGGGTTATTCTTGATACAGACGCAGATGTTATGAAATCTCAACAGAAACATGAATGATAAGGTGCTAGGGTTAGGGTTTCTACTCAATATATGTCTGACAATGAT